ACGTTCCGACCAACTAGGTACGAACAAACTCAACGCAAGACCTGGCCACGTAGCAGCTTCGGCGCATGGTATCTCTCCATCGCATTTTATCCGACCCCTTCATCCATCATCACCTGTGAGGCATATTGGATGACTGAGGACGCTGCCGGCCGTTCATAGGCGCCCGGCAGCTGTCGCGCCTGCTGCAACAGCTGGCTTTTATGCCAAATTGTTCTCCAACGGTATCGGCACGGCGTGGCCTCGCAAGACATGCAGCAAAGCCCTCCGTTGTTTTGGTCGACGGGTCGGTGCGCAGACGCCTGACGCTGAGATTCGTGCCAAAAGGTGCGACGCTGCCGACTGTTTTCGCCAGGGTAGGCTGAGGCCACCGTCTTGGTTTTCGTAACTTGACATTTTATTGTTGTATTTGGGTCATGTTGATTGCGTCTAGAACCATATCTACCAATCGGCTGCCGAAAGCTTTCCCTCTTATGGAGTTGCCCCTTTTAGCTACGCCAAAAAATGAAATACGGTTGTATGAATGTATCCATTCCTTACAAGAGCAATTACAAATGTTTTGGAAGAGTTCCTGTGGTTGTACAACGGGTGGGTGTGCCGAATACCGCATAGACGCGCCTCTACATAAGGCACGTGCGGTGTACATATATGACGGACACTCTCAGCACACAGATAGCATCATATGCAGTCCACCCTGATCATTCCTTCTCGAGGAGCCTGATCACCCTGTCCTCTTTTCCCGAGCCCGCCATCAGGCTGTCGCTAAAACGTTGGGGGCAGTTTTTCCTCCTTTTCAACGTCACGACCACCCTGCAGCCTGCACTTTAATAACCACGTTTCCCTGATCCCTCCGTTGGGAATGACGACAGGCACCCTAGGCTGCATGATCTTTAAGGTACTGATCATGTTTCCAAAAGGCAGAAACGAAAAGTTTCCCAAAGAGTTTGGAGAGAGCCTAATGGCATGACTGGGAAAGGACAAGACCATCCTCAAATGCAAGAACTTCAGGAGCAGCCTGGGATAGAAGCTTACCGCCTGCTGAGAGATTATACAAGATTTGTACCGTGGGCATGTGTAACACCTGCAGTGAATATGTGTAATATATATTGAACATGTCATATGTACACACACACACACACACATATATATAATATATATATATATATATATATATATATATATATATATATAATATATATTTATATACATACAGTGAACACGTCTAATATATACAGTGAGCATGTCCAATACATAGTGAGCGTGTCTAATGCAGAGACCATATGCCGCAACCCCGCCCATCGGGGCACTGGATGTAACCCGACATAACATGCGTCGTCAATCTCGTCGCGAGTACATACAGTCATACCTAAATGTTTATTTTCTTTCTGCAGCGTTGCTTAAAGGGCGCTATGTATGCTGCGCATGCAATTGGGGGTTTCCGGCATGACTCTGTCTAAGCGCCATTGGCAATACAATTATAAAGTTGCCCTTTGGAACCGATGGCTTGTGCACCGCATGTAAGGTCCGTGCCACACAAGAACTATTTTGGTCAATCATGATAACAGGATCTCCAAAATCCCTACACTTCCATCGTGCCGAAGAAACGCGTGTTCTTTCTAAATTACCTTGTGGTCAGTCCGCTGAGAGTGGCAGGATGCATCACTTGTTCTTAGGTTAATACTCTGTTTTTTTTTCTTGGCGTCGCATCCGACAAAATTACCAATAAAAGGGAAGAAATGATACCAAGTCATCGTTTCAAATTATTGCAAACATCCTAAAGTAATGGAAACACAAGAAAAACATTGACAAGGGCCTACCAACAATCCTCCAAGTTTCCTTTCCTCAAGCTACTCCTGCAAACAGGTGATATTAGGTAGTTATTTTTCACAAATTCGGATTCCTTGATCTTAGTGAAAGTAAAACTTCAGTAACTCATGGACGACGGTTTCTCCTCGATTAGTGATGGAGTCCGTCGATTGAACGTGTGGCAGTAGGTGTTTTTATAGTATTCCGAATGTATACCAATAAAGGGTATTTTTGGATCCGATTATTAAATGGAAGTCTGATGCGAGTGCTCAGATACGTGCCAGGTATAACCCCTGCAAAGCTAACTGGAAATAATCAACTGGCTGTGCTAAGCTAACAACTACTTTCGCTTTCTTCATCGCACAATACCACAATGTGCCGCAGCCCCTCACGGCAGCTTTCGTGACGGACCTAGTGACATAATCACGCAGCGTCACGCCGTCGTCACGAACCGGGGCCCCTCGCTGTCCTTACAGTGCACAGCATGCCCGCGGTGTTTCACAACTGCGCAGGATTGGAGCAGCGTCTGAGAGCGCATGTGTCGCCGACTTGGAAAGGGCCCGACGACGATAAGAAGCTGCGTCCATTCTCCGCCGACCTCAGTCCAATGCGTCACGTAGAACGCTCTTAAAAACACGCCGGATTAGCTCGCGATCTCGACTCCCATAAAGAACGCCCCATAACCACCCGCCATCGGTAAATGTGCAGCCGACGGTGCCCGACCCGGCGACAAGCAAAAACAAAATCCGCGGAATTGGCTCGGTTACCCGAGAGGACCCATAGAGTTTGATGGAGAGCATTGACTGGCTTCAATGCGAGTGTCTAAGGCGATAACATTGAAGTGTGCTTTTGCGTATCTGGGGCTCGCAGCTATTCAGGGAAGCCGGCACGATTGATGATTGGCGACGAACGCCCTCAGCAGTAGGGGTGTGAGCGCGGCAAAATGGTCAAAATGACACATTTTCGCAGTTCAGTGTGGGCATTGTGTGAAGCATTTATGAAAAAACTATCAAAATCCAATGAGACAATTAGGCCCAACGCGACGAATGTCTAAAGGTTCGTCGTGCTTACGACGTACCAATGTGTGCTGAACCGGCTAATTCTGACACATGGTTGCATTTCTGGAACATCTGTCCTCAAAATACGTCCATAGCCGTGTTTATAAGTACCTGAACATGCTCCTGGCTGTTGAATTTAACGCGGCAGACCATTGTACTCATGCTTCCAGATTACAGCATAGTAATGTTACAGCAAAGTAATGAGAGAATCTCGGCATACGCTTCACCCTATCATTTATTCAGAAACATTCAGCTGTAAAAAAATCCAGCCTAGTCGGTTTGCACAATATCCTGGGCCCGACTTCAAACTAGCTCATCAAGCAAGTCCAGCACCAGAACTAGCTAACTACGCACGCAGGATTCCACGCATGTAACCTACGCACGGCACTGAGTCATTCGAGCAGCCTGCCTTGGTCACAGTATATGTGTTGTGAAGGTGGCGCATAATCACTGCA